ACAGTTTGATGTGGGTGATCATTAACATCAGGCACAATGACCACACACTGGAAATAAACACTGCAGTCTGATGAAGATGAGGGACACTTCTTGTTCTGAGCTGGTTCCTGTTCTTCAGCTTGTTCATCACACATGGTCGCCTCCAGCTCCTGTCTGTCAGTTATGAGCAGTCAGTCCTGCAGAGGCTGCACAAACAGCATCACTTCACATAAACAAAGCTCTGACACTGCTCTCCTCCTTGTCTGTTCTTATTCTTCATTTCACAGTGAAACGAGCAGACCCGCTCTGCAGCCTCGCGTCCTGCTGACTCTGTGTTTCTCAGTATAATGGCTGGAGGAGATCGGCAGCTGTTCGTACTAAAGGACGTGTTCATTCCAAGGTGAGGAGGATCGATAGTAGGAGACTGATGAGGGCTCATCTCTGGCCTTTAGCTGATAATGGGATGTGGAAAGGAGCCGCTGGAATCCGCAGGGAAAGTCACTGCAGTGATCGAAACACGTTCCAGGGTTTTCCACCTGGAACGAGTCCTGGAGGTGTCAGGGTTTGTGCATGTTAGGAACATATCCAGTTTGTACGTTAGTCTACAGAGGCTTTGTGTTTTTCTAAAAACAGCTGGACACTGTAGCTTTTAACACACAATAGTGCTCTTATTTTGGTGGGTACAGATGGCCAAGTCCAGTGTCTCTGTGTTGTTAACAACATGTTGAGGATGTGTTTTCATGGGAGTGAGTTTCCTGGACAGATCAGACACCTTTCTGTGCAGGAACATGTTGTGTGTTACAATAGGAAGTGCCAGGACTTTTATTTTACACTGTGACTGAACCATGAACTATTTCTTGTCTGTGCGTGGGCTTCCTCCCAGGCAGGTGGCTGTTTTAGGTAGTGATGTGTAAATGAAGCAATGAACCAGTACTGAACCACTTCATCAACTGTCTCGAAAACAGGTTCATTCAAAGCTTCGACAGCAAAACAATGTCTTAATAATTATGTGATGAGTGAATGATGTAAATAGATTTTTCTAAAGATTGATTGGTTGGTTGGTCGGTTGATTCTGTAAACTTGGTAGTTGGGAGAAGGCGTGCTTGGGGAAACGGAGGATGTGCTAAGATGGTAGGGTGTGATTGTGTATGCGGGATGGACATTCAAAGATCTTTATTGAGAAATGAAGCAGTACGGACTGGTTTGAACCAGTCACATGATTCACTCAGGTGAATGAGGCAGTGTCTGGTTCTGACGTCATCGGTCACGTGTCTTTTTCCACACCAAAGCAAGCTTTGAAGGAGTGGTTCAAGGAAAATGCTGTTTCGAGTTAGAAGCTTGTATCAGAGCATCGGTGTCAGAGGCCATCACTAGTTTTAGGTTCTGCTGTTCAGGTGAAGTTGAGATATTGACATGTTCACACTTTAAAGCTGAAGTTTGATTTATTTTCCTGCATAGCTCTGTTAAGTGGAGGTGGAGTTTGTCGAGGCCCGAGTGTAGCAGAGCCGCTGTGTAGTGTGTTACACACCACAAGTCCGAGTCCAATCCACATGTCTGTCAGATGTGTCCAGTGTGACGCCTGCTGTTCCCTCCTCTGTTGCCAGTGTGACAACAGATGAAGTTGTGCCAGTTGTGCAGGTGCAACTAAGGGTCACTGTTCACACTGCTATTTAAAGTGGCAGTGAGGAGATAAACTCACCTTTATTAATTCTATGTAAAACAGCATGTTCGAGTTCGGTGTCACTGTGTTCTGATAGCTGTACTGAGTTACACTATGACTGAGTGGTTACTTCTGGACCACAGGTTAACAACGACACAGAACCTCCAGGACAAACTAGTGCATGCTGGCTGTAATAATACACTGTGCACCCCCAGGCAAGACAGGCTGACTCCAGCCCCGGAGGAAACCAAGAATACGTTTGAGAACACCCTTTGTTTGTTTGTAACACAACACCAGATGGTTGTGTAACTGCCTGTGTCTCGACAGGGACCGGGGATTATTCATGTTGATTTGAGAAAGCTCTTAAAACAAGTCAGAGAACAAGTTTCACATGAGCGTGAACAGTCTGAACAGGAGCAGGGATGCTGTTCGAAGGCTCCGACACATTGAACATGCTGCAGTAGTTCTGTGTCACAGATGCTGCAGGTATTTTCTGTACATGTTCCTTAAAACCAACTTATCATGAAAAGAAATTCATAATCGTTACTGCGAAGACGTCCCGCTGGACAAGCAGCGAACACATTCAGGCATTACTGGACAGGACGATCCCTCTGATGCCTCCAACTGTATCTGTGCTGGAGAAGCTGAACTGGCATGTGGGTGTGAAGTGTTCACAGCAGTGTGGTGGTTTGAGTGAAGGCTGCTGGAGGTGGAGGACTCTGGCTAATAACACTGTCCCAGCTGTCCGCCCTCATCACCTCCGTCATCCCTCTCCCTGCTGCACTCTGGATGAAGGAGCGGCGACCCGGCTCGGCCTCCTTGCTGGGTGGGTGGTTTCCAGCGTTATGCTGATGAAGCCGTGCTTTCTCTCGGGGGGATTCACACTGGCCCTGTTTTACCAGATTTCTCCAGCCAGGGTTGTTGGAAATGTGATTCTGGGGTCTCGGGGG